CTAAAGCCATCGTGGTCAGTGGCGTGTCCGCTGTTTTCCCTGCGCGCGCCAGGATCGTTTCTATCTTTTCTCTCCTTTTCCTGAGAACACTCACGACGAGTTCACTGGTGTGCACGATTCTACGGGAGTTCGACGGGAGAAAAAAAAAAAAAAAAAAAGAAAAAAAGAGAGAAAAACAAAAATTTCACGGGCGAAAAATTGCAACGGGATGAAACCACGTGCGATCAACACCACCGCGCGAGTAACGTTCGAAAGATTCGCTCTGGGTTGTTAACTGCAGACGGATAGATAGAAAAACAGGAAGCTTCGCGTCGCGCGAAAAATATAGGTTAACGTTTCGGCCGAGAAAGCCGAAATACTGGCGCTGTGCTTTCGCTGCGAGTTCCGGCCGCCGCGGTTCGACTCGGATCGGACCGACAAACTCTTTACGTTTATAAACGTTCGAATGTTGTAAACGTCACTGTGTCCCTCTGATTGCGAGGGGAACGCTCACCTGAGTTGAAACTTGACAACCAAGAATTCGCCTTTGCGCGGTGCGCTGATGCGTCTGCGCATTAATACCCAATCTCTCCTGAAGCATCGTCACGTGCTTCTGAGTCAGTCCACGCTACACGTTGGTCACTGTGCTGGACAAGATCGTGTGTTGAAATGCGACGGAAGTTAACGGCTAGTGTGTATCCTCGGGGAATCCACCGATATATCCTTTTAAAAAGGCGTGAATAAATCGACCCGCGTCCATCCCAACACTTTCCTTACAAAATTTTTTCGGTCAGTGTATATTCGCCTTTCTAACGTAACGTAATGTGTTAGACGGAGAGTTCCAACGCGATGAAACCTGTTCTTCCCGTTTCAACCATTTGTTTCGTAGAACTTTTTTCTTTTTATTATGTATATATCTCTGTTCCTTCGACGAACTTCTACTTAATGGTTTAGCATTTGCGAACATTTGTGATTTATATCTATATTTGAGGAATATTTCGAATGGAGGAAATAAAGGATCAAATTTAACAGATTTTTGTAACAAAGACAGGACCTCTTAGATCTAGGTTATATGTTATAGGCAGTATTGTATTCTTGATAAAATTTTCATTTCTGTCAATGTATTAAGATTTTTTTTTTTGTCAAAGGTAGATCTATCGCGCGATTATTATTTATATTAAATTTACATTAAAAATTTGGAATTATTTGTATACATTACAATTATACAGTATAATTTAATCATACATTGAATGTATAAATTTAATATTAATTTGGAAAGTTTCAATTTTTTATTTTTTATCAGAAATAGAAAGAAATATATTGATGGAATTTGCTATGTTCTACCTATATGTCAAGTATTTTTTTTAGTTTGAAATTAGTATCAATCATCCAATCTTTGCTCGTTAAAGATAAACAAGGTTCTTTAATGCAAGTTCTATTTACAATTTTGAAATCATTGTTGCAATAGAAAGAAAACGAAAACAAATGAGAAATGCAATCAAATGATGTCTCTTAATCAGCAGGTTGAAAATAATGTTCAAATTTCGTAAACAAGTATCAGATGACTTAGATTGTATCTGGATTATAACTTGTTCTCAAGTATCATTAATGCAACATCTACAAAGTATTGTAGATTTGATGTATTATAGGAAGGTAAATAGAAAAATACAGAAATAAAAATTGTGAAAAATTTAACAAATTCATCTTTGTTTTCTTTCCCTGCGAACATAGATTTTTCAATTCTATTATCCCAAACTGAACTTGTATTCAAATTTGCATTAAAAAATATGTAAAAATATGCAATTGTACGTGTTGCATTTGAAGTAGGAAATATATAAAAGAGAATTTAGAAATCTGTATACCAAATTGAAATCCTGTGTTTATCCTACGATGTAGTTCCTGATTTACATATCAGCAAGCATTTCTTATTTCAACAATCTGTTCAAGTTAATGAAATATAGATATAGAATTTGTTTACTTGTAGAAATGATTCGTTACATCATCCATTTATTATGCAAATAACTAAGAGGTTGCCCACCCAATCTTTATGACGTAATCAATAATTTAGATGTGGCGCACACCTTCTGGTATTGACCAATATCTGGTGTTCCCTCCATTAGATCTACTACTTCTTATGTTCAGTTTCAATAATTAATATTTATAAATTCAGTGTACAATCCACCACAAATTATTATTAATAATAAGTGAACAAGTTTTAAAGGAGTTTAGAAACAAACAATAAAAACGAGGAACTTTAACACAAACTTGTTAAGAATTCATAAACATTAAGAGATCTAAATTAACATGGATGTGCAAAGATCAACCAGCAATGAAAAGTCGGGCTTTTTTTTCGAAAATTTCTTCACTGTAATAATAGTAATTAATGTTTACCAGATACAACAGTTACATAACGTGGTCAGTAGTCGCGTTGATTATTAAGGATAAGCTCAGTTGCCTCCTTTTATGACTTCGAGAGATCTTTCCTACGTGTCTGCCTGCTATCTTGCATTTTGTTTCCGTTCTCTTACATCACAGCGAAGCATACTGGCGCATATTTGCCACGAATGGAATTCATGTGAATTCATACCTATTGTTAGCGTAATCAAGCCAGAAAATAATATCGTCATTCGAAGCACGTTGTAAATCGGATCGGACGCGGGGGGAGAGGGGAGGGGGGGGGGAAAGAAGTCATTTACGATTTACCAGCTGCATTAGATTCGGTTGCCTGGGAGTTAACATCCGGTTTCATTGTGCATGACACTGTTTTTTTCGTAGAGGAAAACTTTGTTTCGTTGGTACACGTGATTTACGATGGACCTTCGATGAGTCCGAAATAAAAAAATTTTACCGATAATTCTCTTTTGCGTCATCTGCGGCATCTCTACACATCATCTTGAAGATGATGTATAGAATATCTTTCGTCGTGTATAATGCAATTACCCTAAAGTTAAGGTAATCGGTAAACTATAGTACGTTTTGAAATCCCAGATAGTCTTCTATTGTCATACCTTCGATTATTTATATACAATTATCATCTTTGCATCGTCTGGAATATTGTTAAATTTCGAGTTATGTGATCTACTTTTTACCCTGTTGTCTCAGTAGTTTTCAAGCCGTCATAAATTTCGTTTAATCGGATATCTCTCGTCTCGATTTTATGTCCGCAATCAATATGCTATTGTGAGTCAGTTTCTTTCCAAGGTGGCCAGTCTGATGCAGTTTAAAATTAAGTAATTCGATGATAACTCGAATTTGCTTGGTCGATTGGTTATGCAGGTCCATCCTCATTGACAATTTTATTAAATTTAATTTTTAAAGTCACGATATAAATGTAATTTGAATATAATAAAACGAGATACAACAATTTAAATATTTTAAAATCGAGCTGTGTAAAAGTAATTTTGTCCCTGTGTATTTAAATTAAATTGTAACATTAAATTTCCATTTCAACAAACAAGACAATAAAGTAACAACCAAATTCTCTCTTATTCTCGATAACAGTATAAATAAGAGCAAACATTGATCTGTGATTGCAACAAATTTATTAGTAATCCGTTTATAAATATCTGCAAAAAGGGAAGAGTAATTTTAAAAACGTGTTCAACTGTAGTAACGGAATGATTTAACTGATCATGAATACTTACAACGAACGCGCAATGGAATTTGTTCACGTTGCATAGATTTCATTATAATTACCAGTCCCTGCAATTTTAATTTACACTGTCGAGGACGTCAGCATTTCCTTTGAATTGCCTTAAATTTCGTCGTTTTTCACTTAGTTAATTGATACTTGCTAGGCTCGCGACAACGTGTATCCTAGTTGAAATATATCTTTTCTATTAGTCATTGCTTCTGTTGTGTACATAAAACGGTACTTTGATCACGTAATATGAAATGTGTGAAGAAAAACTGTAACGTTATTTAACACGTTAAATACGATGTGTTAGCTTTGGAAAAACATTTCAGTCTAACGTTTCTCGCAAGGACGGAAATAATATTGTTGGAAGACCGATTAGAAAGTGTTCTGTTAAAGCATAAAGTTCAGGGGAAAAATGGAATACGTTGGCTAGCGATAATTACATGACTTGAAGATCCTTCTCGAAATATTGTTTCTTTTTCTTTTTTTATTATAAAAATCAACAGTATACGAAAATTAAACACATGATTCGCCATGAAATGTGAATCAGTTTTAAATATCATTTATCAATTAACATTTATCTGTAAATAATTAATTTATTTATTAGAGATTCAAGAAAAATAATATGTTGAATAAAGATACGTGTTTGAAGATGAACATATTCTTAATTTGTTATGTCCTTCATATTTGTGTTAAACTTTTAGACTATTGATAATTTTAACGAACGCTTAAAGAGTTAATTATAATAAATTTGTTCATCAATTTGAAAGGATTCTCTCTAGCTTGATGAGCTAAACTCCTCGTATAATGAATCCCCTTCTATTTATAATTCCGTAAGTGAATTGCATTCTATTAAAAATAACTGTTCACATACTTTTGAATGGTAATGAGAATGAATAGATTCAACGCACGTGATACTTTGTTATCTGTGATCAAACGTGCATTGTCTCCAGTTGACAATTATTTGCATTCCTTGTAAATTCTTGTGAAGCACGTTAATTTCCAACACCGTTATTTCAGAACTATTTTCCGCGCGTCTGGCTACTTGTTTCCCTTTCTTTCCCATTTTTTTCCAAACTGCCAAGCTTATGCAACACATTTTCCGTGTTGTATCCGCGTTTCTGATCGAGAATAACAAGCGATTTGTTCTTTATACTTTGAACGTGGAAACTTGATTATTCGAACGAATTACATATTTCGAGCAAAGATAGAAATTTGTAAATTTTTTTACATCGACCAACATTACATTAACGTTCCAATACTGAAGAAACTGGTTTCTTTAATTGATCTTATAATCGAGGTTCAACCTTAATTCTATGTTTGTAAAGGCGTACGAAGCTAAATACTGTGCATTCAAACAGGTATAATATAATTCTATCAGACAATTTGCATTCATTATGTAATTGGCGGATTATGTGCCAGATTCCTGTAATGTTAGGTAAAATGATACACATGCATAATGCTAGGCCTGTCGATCACTCGGAACATTCTTGTTGATTGAGTCGGTGTGATCGTGAATCATACAAATGCTGTATAGATGTATACAGCATTTGTTAATAGCTGTCGTTTGAATTTAAAAATATTTGGACAACGTTGGCAGCGGTGTTTATGGAATAACCTGTGAACTATACGAAATAATACGTATTTAATTTATTTTAGGAACAGATGTCGTGAAATAAATTCAGTAGAGCACCGGTTGTCATCGGACGAGGTGGCCGAGTGGTTAAGGCGTTGGACTGCTAATCCAATGTGCTCTGCACGCGTGGGTTCGAATCCCATCCTCGTCGATTCGCTTTTTGTTACGTTTGCGAAAACATTCTCTAGTTCGTAAGGTACGTGTATATAATATAATAATACGCGCACGTGATGTGTATATACAACTGGAGAAAGTTGTTAAAAAAAAATTTATGATAACGATGATGAATTCTCTTTAACACTCGAGAGCCAGAAGTTCCTTGAACTCGGAAAAAGAAGAAGGAAATCGCAGGTGTAGAAATTTCGAATATATAAATTTAAGATAAGTTTGTACACGGAGTAAATTAAATTTTAATTATGTTCGGACGGTAAGTCCCAATTTTACTTGTTTGGTTTCTAAATACTCAGTTTGATTCGAAGGTATTGTCGATAGTTTCTTGACGTTGCACAATCAATTACATAATTGCAGAACGTGCTTTATATTCGATCATGAATTTTTGTAGAGCCGTCCCGACACGCTTTAATATCTGAATAGGCAGTCGTGACTTGATGTTAAAAGAATTAAAAAAAACAGAGTGAGATAGTAAACGCGTATAAAATTTGTACTGCAAATTAGACCATTACCACATGATTAATGGGACACCCCCGTAGTCTCATGCATTATTTATTAGGTCTTCATATTACAAGAAGTAATCAAATCGAATGAATTTTCCTTAATACTATAATGCATTCGCGGTACACATTATCCATTGCAAAATATATATAGGTATTATACAGCGAGGATAATCTGCTTGTTTGATGAAATATGACGTTAGTAATTCATAAACACATTAAATAATAAAATCATTTTTTAGTAGTAAATAATAATAAATATTAGTAAATAATTATCATCATCATCAATAGTCATTGTCATTATAATCATAAATCAACATTAATAAATAATATTAGAATATGATTTTAAAAATTTATTTATGTGAATGTGTGCGTCGATTTTTTTTTATATCATCTTATGTAGAAAGTTTAAATGTTGAGAATGCAAATTGCTTAAATCTTCTAATAAAAAGTTCATCGGAATGAAATTCATTGTTTTCTCAGAATGCAATCGCTGTTGATACAGAATGCAAACACATGCATATATGAATGAGTAATTGTATCAGCATTTAGTCATTTAATAAGAATTATTCAATTTAGAGTATGTTGCAGATAAAATTCTATAAGAAAAAGAATTGTCTCTTATTCTTCTACAAAAACATTATATTATTTAATTACTCACCGTTGTCAATTTATTCATATCAGAATTTAATAAATACACTTTGAATTTTCAAACATAGAACAAGTGAACGTATTATAATGGTATTCCAAGGTTAAGATACGTGCTTTGGTATGTGTGTGTTGAAAAATCTCTCGAGACAATTATTTTGCAAATTGTTACAAGCAAAGATATCGCATTGATCAAGGCTATCGAATCGATAAACACTAGGAAGTGCGATCATTTGTAGCTCCTTGTCAAGATTAAATTTATTTGAGTATTTGATAGTGTGTTGCAATAGTTGTGTGTGTAAAAATAGTCCGTGATCATTAATTCAAATTGTTTCTATTTTTAATTTACGCGATGGGAAATAATTAGATAATTGTGTTTTGATTATCAATTGATTCGTTATTTATTTCTGTAATTCGGAAAGGTACGTACCTTTCTATCGTATCATGTAATACTAAAAATTATAATCGAAGTATCGCATAAAGTTATATTGAAATCATGGAATTATGTGTAACTTCAGAAGAAACGAAGCAATTCTATTACATGTAATGTTCGTGACATTGCACATTCGTTTTCCAAGTGATAATGCTCTATGAAGAATCGTGTTTAATAATCGTGTTCTGTTTTATCGACGGTACCAATTTTCATAGATAGACACACAATAGCAGAATATGTGATACTTTTCTGTCGAAACTCTTTGTTTTGGCATAGATCATGTAAAAATGTCGTACAATAGAAGAAGTGTCGACGAAAGAACACCATTGTTGGGTAAGTTCTACTTCTTATGTTCCAATTTATCAACAACATTGTGAATTGTAAAATTGCAGCTTGCTTTATTCATTGTTTTATGATGTTTCTAACGTTTTGTACACAATGAATTTACCTTCCATATCAGACATTCATAATTGTGCGGAACTCGCGAATCATTTCGACGTATTTTCGCGTTTATGTTACAGTTTAGTACAAAATTTTATATAATTTCCAAGTAGAATAAATGCTGTAATAATATATAATTGCTTTTTAATTTTAGAATCATATTATTCACGATATATATCGTCATGCCTTGAACATGTGACTGTAGCAGTCGTGGCCGAGTGGTTAAGGCGTCTGACTAGAAATCAGATTCCCTCTGGGAGCGTAGGTTCGAGTCCTACCGACTGCGGTTGTGAGACATGTGAATAATTATATTTTTACCTTTTTCGTTTTTTAAGTTTTGAATATTTTTTTCAATTTCCATGCATTTTCTTTGAATCAATTATATCTAAATTGTTGAAAAGTAATTTCTAAAATAAACTCGTGTACTGTATAAATTTAAAATTATATTCTAGATAAATATAACTTCTTTTTTTGAATTGCGAACTAAAAGCTAAGTGCGAAGTAATTGTACAGCAGTGAGATATTAAATTTTGAGGAATGTTGTAAAAAGACTGTAAATATTAAGGGAATATACAGCAAATTATGTATCTATTTTATAGTCGTATATATCATTCATATAGGATGACAAACAATATAAAGATAAAGAATTGCAAGGACGTTGCTTTATTTTTAGACTACTGCTTTGTTCTATTTGAACATTACAAATAAATTAATGATGAGCTTTATCGAAATTTATCTATTTTCATTATTATTATGGAATATTATTAAAAAATTGAAAAAAGACAATATTTGTACTTTATATAATATATATTCAATGAACACATTATTTTTTCTTGCTTTTTTTTATATTATTTTATGTTTTGCAATATAGTTTATATAACTATACTTATTATTATATATTACCATTGTTATTAAATCTTCAACTAGTGGATATATATTACATGTTTTTTCCCTGTTTTAAAAATGCACGATTTATAAAATAAATGAATCATTACAGTTTCATCAAAGATAAGAATTATTAGAAAACAATTACTAGAAAGGATATTATTTTTTTGATAAGTTACTATCTTTCAATTGTAGTTGTATGTTCGTTCTTAAGAAAATGATCATGTCCAAAAATATAATCTGAAATTGAGGAGTATATACCAAATATAGACATTTGAAGACAGTGTTTGCAGTATGATTTTATATGTCATATGTTTCTTATTACATGGCTTACATTTTATTGCAATTATATGGGGAATATAGCACAGGATTATCATCAAGTTTTATCAATTTAACGTTAATTTAACATTTTACGAAATTTACAGTGTTCTCTGTTGTTCTTATTGCACATGCAAATTTCTTTTTTTTTAGATAATAATATTATATTTTTTTTATAATAATATTTTTTATATAATAATTGACATTCATTTGTAATAAAAATTCCATTTTATATCTAATTATAATAAATTCAACTTATTGATTCTTTTAGTCTTCATTCAAAATTTTTGTCATGTTAAATTTAATTTTTCTTCTCTTTGCCAATTTCTAGTCTTTATATGACAAGCTGCTTTATATATCTTCCAATTTTATATGGAATTTTATATTCATAAGGTATTATCGTCGAAATACATTTTTTAATATCTTGAGAATTTTATATTTTTATTATAATTTTGAATTCTTATGACGGACATATTTATTATGCATGTAATAAATTGAGACATCTGCATAGCTGTGACTGATAAGTTCCATCGCTTTTAAGTAGATCGTATCTCTTATGAATCAGACATTAAGAAAAATTAGAATGCATATAACATGAAAAGTTGCGTTCAATATAAAAAAATATATAACGCTCGTAATATTCAGTGATTGAAACAAATCTCTGCTTAGATTCTGTTTCTTTTTCGTTGCATTGTTAAAAATCTTGAATTACATAAACATTCGCAATCGTGATAATTACGTAAAGACACGAACTATCTGTTTATAGTTTTCATATCGTCACACTAAATATCCTCCTCTTGTTAAACATTTGAATCTTCAATGTTGCAGCTCGTGTACATGTTATTTTAAAACTTCTCGAAGATTAATCCTCGCGATTTGTTAAGCATCTACGTGTACTCAAATATTATTAATATGAGAAGCAGATGGTGGATTTTTTTCCCGTACTGAAATTCAATTTCACTGTTATTATTAATCATGTGATCGGTTATCAGATGGAATTAGCGCTCGATAAAACGTCTCATCCAGACCGGTCTGTATCTCGGCGAATAAAGAATTGTCCCTCGTGTTCCAATACACGTGTCAATACAGTCGGTTTGAAACGTTGTTATCTATTACTGAGCTTGATAATTGCAAATTAAAACGTTTTATCTGAACGTTGATTTTGCAGCTGAAGATTTATTCCCCCGTGTCTTGGTTTGAATTGCAATTGTAGCGATCTCAATTAAAGCATATCAGTGCGTTCAGTGAAAGGGAACACGCCGGTGATATTCTGTGAATCTTTCGTTTTATCTTACCGAAGGATTGTGCATTTCATAATTCTAAATTGATTTAGAATTGTTTTATCGATCGAAGAGAAGAGTGTGCGTTTGAATCATGGTGTTGTGTAGGTACACGTATGAGATTAATGCACGAAATAAATTGTCAAGTACGATCGTTTAATGAAAATATCGGTGCAATAATTTAGACAATTCCAGTTCAGAATTGATATAAAATATGTTATCGTTATCTGAAAAAATTATGTTTAGCTTAGAACTCGATCTTGTAATTTATTCCACGTTTGTTGTCCACGGCTTTTTTTTTTTTAATTTGTTCCTGCGATACGTTATCTGATTTCTAAAAGTATTAAAAATAAAAATCAGATTGTTTGTTAATGTTTTAGGATCCGTTGGATGTATCATTTATTATCATTTATTAGATACTTTTTTACGCATATTTTCGTTAATACATTGACGTAACAATAAATTTCCTGTTTAAATACACGTATGAGATTAATGCACGAAATAAATTGTGAAGTACGATCGTTTAATAAAAATATCGGTGCAATAATTTG